ACTGGTGGCCAAAGGTTTAACTTTTCTGTTGTAATACTGTTTGAAGCTCACGCGAATAAGTGTTGTTCCGCAAGACGTGAGAAGAGAAAAAGACGCTCTTCATCAGACCGTAGAGACGGAGCCTAATTCCATCGTAACACCATTTTTTACTGCCTGACGAAGGGCGTCTTGCTTGAAACGTCGCACAAAATAACAGTAGAAAAAGTTTTCGTTTAGACGTGTCAACTCGTTCTCTGTTATATTTTACCCAGCGTTTTTGGACGAACTAAGATCTAGGAACGGGTTTTTGTTTTTTAGTTTCATTTTGCGTTGCGACCTGCAGATTGCGAGTCGAGTGCCCTAACCACCTGGCATTGCCGGGCCTGATAAAAAAGGAAGTAATTATCGTTCTTCAGTGCATTGTGATGGGATAAAAAAAGGAAGTATCATTCTTAAGCGCAGTGTGGGGCATAAAAAGGAATAATCTGACTTTGGTCGTTGTTTGTTGTACGCCACTGTCAACGAGGTATTTCGCTTTGAATGATCCGATTTCAGTTACTGTTAATTAATGTGATGTAATATTATACATATAACCACCTAATGAAGATATTTTTCGAGTTGTATAGCAAGATACAAAATAAATTTTCTAACTTTTTTTTTTGACAAGAATTTTTTTATAATTTTACCATGTTCGTTTCAGTTGCTTTCACGTGAAGAGGAATTCTGAATTTGAGTAAAGCAAACCAAAACTCAGCTTTGAGACAAGTACTAGTAAGGCTCAACTCGATTAACATGCTTTCAGATACCGGAATGACAGCTTTCGAAAACACGAAACATACATATATTTTTCATTATAAAAAACAACACGAAATTAATAAAATATTAAAAACACTGAATTGACATAAAAGTGCTCTTTCAAAAATGTATATTGTTCTTTATGTACATTCATGCAATAATCTTATAAATGTTGACAACTGTTTTAAGGTATTGCTTAAAATGTTACTTTATTTTCTAGTCTAACTTAGGATTCTTAATCTAATCCAAACAACTTCAGTAATAACTAAACTTTTAAAAAATATTGTTTGCAAAAATAGACTTTACATAGAAAAACGGTGCAAATTTTAGTGAAAACCTCTGTCTACGTAGTTGTAAGTACAAACACCCGAACAATATACAAGCAAACAAGTGTATACATAGACTATAATTAAATTAACAAAAGTACTCAAACCATTCCGAAATATATTCAAACTTATTATACTTAAAATTGAAAGTATTATACAATTTTCTTTCATTCTGTTTAATATATATATATCGAAATGTATAGCGAATTTAAAAATAAATATTTCACACCTTTAAAGTTCATAAAAAACCATAGGCTATAATTTCCCAATTCGTGGCTACTATATTCAGAGACAACATAAGTCAGACAATCGAACATTAAATTTTCAAATGTCCAGGCATGAGAAATGATACACCCAACCTACAAACTTAATAACAAAATTAATTACAAACTCACGAGTATTCAATAACTTTGGTACTGTATTAAAATAAAACATTAGTACATTTTCCTGAACGCGTTTTATTATCCACTTCCTTAAAAATCCAATTATATTCTATTTTTGATTAGACTAACAATTAAGAATTTTGACATTTAGTCTTGGATTCCCCATATTAGAGAGGTAATTAAATACCTCTGGTCGTTTCTCAACGCTTGTACAACAAATGTATATTTATTAACGTGCAGAAACCTATGGCAAGCGTTATTATTATATAAACTTTGCTGCTTTGTTTAGTTAGTTTCATCAACTACTGGTGTCTTGGTACGGTTTTCTTCTGGTGATGAAAGTACTCATCACCTCACATATAACACTACAGAGAATTGAGACACTCGCATTTAATTACTGTTGGTATTTCTATAACATTTTCTCTTCTTTATAAACTAGTTCAAGCCTACTATTAATACAGTGGTTTGAACATTAAGCTCATAGCTTGTTCAGAGTCAAGCCACGATACTATATCTGTTATATATGTTTCTTTTCTCATGTTATACCGTGCTTGTTCTCGAGTGTCCGTTTTATATTTGTAGTTGGAAAATGTAATACTTTGGCAGGAATAGTTTTGTACATCCAACTCCAGGAAGGGGAAGGAATGCTACATTTTTGGCACCTCTCGGAACCTTTATTTTTTGCCATCTACTTTACCTTCTTTACCGACACGTTTTTACGTTGTTGGTCACTGAAGCTTTCAGCAGGCATTTAGCTTCAAAGTGAAATTGTACTTTGTACAACAAATTAAGGATTTACATAATGAACATAACACCTTTAGGTACATTCAGGCGTTCTTAAGTAAAATAAAGCTAAATATTTCAATGTTTCTTGTCTGTAAAATGTATTGTTAACCCGATGCATTTTTATTATTTATTGTTTCGATTGACCAAATGACTGGTTACGTAGTGGAAACATTTTGGCATCATCATTAACACGTGGTTTCTGAATTGCAATGGCTGCCTTTTAGAGGGTGTGTATTTTCAGAGCCAACATGTTGCCCGTTACCGTGTTTTGAGAAACAATTTAAAAAAATATTTTTATATCCATCAGATGTATCTAACCTCGAGCGATCAAGTTGCTTATTTTTTTATTTTTTCTTTGGCATAATCTTATCACTGCCTAGCTTGAGTATCATTATTTCAGTCTTTTCAAAATATCATTGATTTGTGTTGTGTGTAACTTAATGGGCAGGGAGACTATAACTTTAAATGTCCATACAATAATCTTACAAATGATGAAAACTCTGTTTTAAGGTATTACTGAAAACAAGAAATAAGAAAGAAAACAGAAAATATATTACTTTGAAAAATACAACGTTTAATATTTATTAACCTGTGCACTGAAATTAGAGCATGCACAAATTTACATTTTAAGGTATGCAATGATAAGGTAGTATTCAAGCCCTTTCAGTAGATAACAAAAACAACTTACAGTTTGTGTTTTATATGGAGATTGGTGTATTACCTCACGTACCCTCGGAATGATGCTTTGAGAAAACACGAAATTGGACAGGAATCTTGTAATACGAAGAAGCAGTGATAAATAAGAACGTTTCTACTTCGACCATATAATCAGCACAAGATTGAAACTTGTTCAAATATATAACATAATACAGTTCAGCAAAATGATTTGGGGAATAATTTTGTTATTTCTTTCGTTATTCTCGATACAGTAAAAATGTTTTGACAATTTTCTTTGAAATTTGATATGCCTTTCTCACTGAGAGTATATTTACAGTAACGGGAGAAGGAAAAAATTACCTATCAGTCATCATAATCCAGATTCGAATCTGTACTGGAAGATCCATTTTTAAGTGTTTCTGTGAATAATTTATTTGAAAAGAACGATTTTATTACATGTACTATTAATACATGAAATAAATGGTCATGCTCTTAATATAATTTTGAATCGCAATGTTTTGTTGTTGTTTTTTGTAAATTGAAACACTATTTCATGATAATTATAATATTAAAATGTACATTATTTTCTCTGTATTATCTTAAGTTCAAATTCTCTTCCTTCGGACTATAAATACTTTTATCAAATCGAAAACTAACCTTCAAAGTGCATATTATGATTTTAAAAAATCATTAACAGGTTAGAAAATATGAAAACACTTCTAAATGCTACCATAAAATCGTGAATTGAAATGCTATTAGCCGCTGTAATTCCAGTGGGATTTCATGATACACAATATATCAATATATCGCTCCATTATTAACATCTATTATACAATACAGATGGGCCTAAAGTAGCACATAAAGCGCTGAAAGCAAGGTTAGAAAAAATCATAACAAATATTCTTTAAAACTAGAAAGTAGATAACAATAATAACTGTCACCAGAAAAATGTGAATAAGAAACATTCACAATGATTTAATATTCACTAGCTCTAGCTTATCTAAATATTGATTATTCACATCTTGATAACAAAGGAGAAAAAATAAAACACATAAAACAATTGATCTGGGTGCTTCTATAAAGGTTTCAGTACTGAATTCCATTAAGTAATTGATTCTCTATAAAAGTTAGCATTATTATTAATTATATCTTGATCGACCAAATTTTATCTTGATGACAAGTATTATAGCTTCTACTACACGAAACGCCTATTTTATAACAAAAGCCCGATGCATGTATGTACTCGCTTATATCAATAATGCTAATTGCTAATTTCTTTTTGCTATATTTCGAAACCCTATTTCTCTCCATATCTATTTTCTTCGTGTCTTGGTCATGTTAGATAGTTTTCTTATGTAAGACTGAAGAAATGTTGTACTAATTTTCAGGCGGATGAAAGAACTGGTATACGGAGTTCTTTGGCCAGTTCAAATTATCATAAATAAAGCTCCCTCCGTGTGTTTAGTCTAAACTATACGTTTAGTATCACGAACGGTAAAGGAAGCTTAATGGACACGAGTTCTGTTAACAACTCATCCTACACTATTATATAATTATTTGATCATTTCACTGTATCGCTTCTGAATTTATTACCATTTTAATACTTAAAATCGTACGTATTATCAGTAGCCGCATTCTAGAGCATTCTAAAATAACATAAGTACTAGACACGTTGATATCAATTCCTTATTAAAATTTATGACATTAACATAAAACCTTTCAGTAATGACATATCTGAATTATCAACAAAGTTTATAAATTTTTTTTACTAAAATGAATCCATTTATTATCTAAAAATAAAATAATTGGACTGCTTCATAATATTTTATTTAGTATTTACTTTAACCGTTTGAGCTGAACTAACTTTTATTTAAATCCTTTCCATGCTAATATGCTAAAATTAAGCACTGTCGGCCATTTTTAACATAAACAGATTCTAATTTCTTTACATGATAGTATTCGATATAGCCAGACTTCTCTGATTGTTCTTACTAGTCACTGGCTCCCTCTTTCGGTATGGTTCTCAGTAGCGTTAGAAACAACCAGCTTGACTAAGGCAGTTCAGAGCTTGGACTGTTTGTGAGTTGTGGTGGTTGGCGTTCGACGCGGACTTTCTCAGCCTACCTGTCTGTCTACACTTGCCAGATCTGTGCTAAAGAGAAGATCCCGAACTTCTGATAGTCTCCAACCACCAACAGATGTTCGTCCAGCAGATCATGCAGTCATAGTTAACCATCTGTGAAAGCGTCGTTGGTTTCATGACCAATGAGTAAGTACAGATCATCATCTTATATTGATTTCTTCTATCTCCTTCCTCCTTTGGTATCCGTATAATAAGAAAAACTGTATTTTTATTACCTTTATCTACCGCTAAACCTGTAATGATGTAAAAAAAAACAGCAAATGTAAATTATTAAACCTTTCTGCAATAGTTTTTGCTCAGTCACCATCATCATCATCATCACGTTTCAAGATTCAGAATAGGTACTACTACTAGTAGTGAACAACCACATACGTATTTAGTGCTAAGGGTAAAAAACATGAGATGATGATCTTCATGTTTTATAATGTAAAATCCAAACTTCGAATTATTTGAATATTCAAAGGTTTTTTTCTTTTTTGTACCATCTTTATACCACGATCATCTTTTTAGCATTTCCTATTTCAGTATATTTAGAAATAATTAAAAACAAGATAAAGCTGTGTTCAAACGTGTTTTTTTTTTTGTTTTGGTTTATTTATAAAAAAAATATTAACATCCTATAGACATAACTTGAGTATCATGTTTGATAGATATTTAGAATACTATGTTTTATATATATTTAGGACACTACGCTTAGTAGATATTATTAAAAACTATGTTTTATAGATATTTAGAACACTATGCTTGGTAGATATTTAGAACACTCTGTTTTATAGATACTTAGGACACTATGCTTGGTAGATAGATAAAACACTATGTTTTGTAGATACTTAGGACACTATGCTTGGCAGATAGTTAAAACACTGTGTTTTATAGATACTTAGGACACTATGCTTGGTAGATAGTTAAAACACTATGTTTTGTAGATACTTAGGACACTGTGTTTGATAGATATTTAGAACACTATGTTTCGATGGGTATTTACAACACTATGTTTCCTGGATAGTTAGAACGTAATTGATAAATATTCAATAATAATCTAAGATATAACGTATCACAAGGAGTGTTGATCGTTAAGTAATCTGAGAATTCCGTGTGTTTGTCATTACGTAAACTTAAAATTATGTGTGTTTATTGTTAAACAGTCTGAGATTTCCGTGTGTTTATCGTTAAGCAGTCTGAGAGTTCCATGAAATGTAACTACTGTAATTCTAAACATCATTCCTTACACAACAATATAGTTTTTTTGTTCGAATTATGAAAATTATACTTTTAACAACATAACCAAATAAATTCATTCTCCATATTTCGTGATACTGGTGTGAGTTACGTATCAACCACGGATATTTTTAAGCATAATGGTTTATAATGTCTTTTTAATTTTTGTGGCTCAAATTAGTGCACATATCAACAAATGTTTTATATAATCAGGCTGACTTTTAGTTAAAGTAATATTTAGTTGCAATGTTAGATATCTCTCTCAACAATAGATAAAAAAAATACAAACTGTTAATGTTGGTAGAAACAACTCTAAGTTTAACTTTCACTAAAGATTGACTAAAGATTGCATTTACAAATGTTTCTGGACAAACGATCTCAAAAATAAAATTAGTTCGACACAAAAGAGAAATATCACGTAAACGAGTTCAGATATTCAATACTAATTAAAATAATTTATGCCAAAAAGTTTTGTTTTTATAGAAAAACAACAACACATAAATGTGTAATAACGCCACGTCTTTATCGAATATGAGCTGTAATATAAGATGTTTTAATTGTAACTCCGTATATTGGATTTGTTTGTTTTTAACAAGATATTTTTTGTACGACTCTTTTTAAATTTTTGATATGTAAAGTTTTTGAAAATGACACACATCGTTGCTGTCAAAAGACTGAATAATAACAGACTTTGCTGTCGGTAAGATACTCTAACACTCAAAGAAAAACTAATAATGTACTTTAGTCTTGTCAAATGAGACATGAACTCCTACTGTATGATGCTTGTTTTTGGGTCTTCTCCATTTTAATGCATCTTCAACTGACGTATCTTAAATAAGCGTATGTTACCTTTAACACACAGCTTTTCTGTGAACGAAAAAAAAACCTTTTCAAATACACGTTTGTTTCATTCATAAACTTATGATGTTTGGGTAGCTAAAAGAGTATGCTTCAATATTTGAAGAAAAATAAAATTAAAACACACCAAATTTAAATATAAAAAGTATATGGGAAGCAGTAGATTTGAGGCACTTGTTTATCGAAAAGTTGTGACCATTATGAATATCTACAAGCTTGGTCTGGAAAAATGAACACAAACAAAAATCGACCACAAGCTGTGATCTTTTGATATTACCACTGTGAGCCCCGTAGACGAAGCTCTTACACATGAGCTTTGATCGCCATTTTTGTTCATTCGTATTTCTCTGACGTTTGAAAAGAACTTTTAAGAGATGGATTAAAAGTAATTATCTTGCCAATCACTGTAAGCTTCTAACCATATCTACAGTAAACACATCGATCAGTTGTTGATTTTTTGTTTGTTATTTTGTTCGCACGAGATCACATGTAATGTCTAAGGTTTCTGCACAAAAATTCTTTATGGAGTATCTGATATAAAGCTTAACAATACATAATAGTGAAAATAGAAATGGGCCTGTTTTATGGATCAGGAGTCCGAGTCACCAGCCATACAGCTCAATAGAGAACAAATATAGATAAGTTCATCTGGTTTTGCTTATGACATTACTTTCACAACTTATGTTACTCAAATATATTCGGATTCAGAAGAAGTAGAGTCAATGTGTCAGGTGTCATATAAAGGGTGGTTCAGTATCTTTATCGAGTAGTATTGGTTTTCAACATAGCTTTTATACGCTGTTTACGTTAAAAGTGTTATAAATACGGTGGTACTAATTTAGTGGTTTTTCTCCATATAAAAACTAGAAAGATAGGATGATAACACTAAATGTTCCTGATATAGCTTGGAAAAAGATTTTGTTATCACACGAGTGAAAATTATAGACAAAGCTTGTTTTTACGCTCTATTACTTTCTTCAATGCTCAAGTTGACGTATTGAAATATTGTGTACTTGATGGAAATACGTTAACTTCATTGTGCGGATTAACTATTTGGATTTTGAAATGTGAAATAATTGTGAATATTTTTAACTTAAAAATGCAAGGGTTAACAAACATACTAAAATATATCACGAAAATACTTTATTTAGACTACAACAATATCAGTGACTACAAGGAAGGTAAATGCAGATACTAAAAACGTAACTATATAGCACATTACGATTTACTGTTTTATATATTTCGAACTTATGCATTATGTGTGCTCAGAACTGTGACTCCCAGGATCACAGTTTTACAATATCACTTGTACAGATGTCTATTGTATTACTTTTAAAACGCCTTAAAGGAGATTATGATAGTACTACTTTTGTGCCGTAGTTGAAAATCTGAGGTACGGCTATCTAAAATATACAAAACATTCGTCAGTTTGTAAGAATTCCTCGGGCAAACTGAAAGTAGAAACTATAGACTATAAGTACTTCCGCAGGGTCCCCGAAAGTGTTGTGTTTCAAGAGTAAATCAAACCAAAATTAAAAGTAACAAGTATTTTTACTCTTTGCTTTTGAATTTCATATGTCACGCTGTGTTGTAGCCTACAGAGTGCATACTTCTTCTCGTGATTCGTGGCATGCACGCGTTTTACTGATGTCACAACAGTACAAGTTAAGCCTATAGTTTCTACTCTACGTTTGCCTGCATGATTAACCGAATCTATATTATATACTTGACATTTGCCTGTATAAGTCGTTAAGCCTATAGTTTCTACTCTACGTTTGCCTGCATGATTAACCGAATCTATAGTATATACTTGACATTTGCCTGTATAAGTCGTTAAGCCTATAGTTTCTACTCTACGTTTGCCTGCATGATTAACCGAATCTATAGTATATACTTGACATCTGCCTGTATAAGTCGTTAAGCCTATAGTTTCTACTCTACGTTTGCCTGCATGATTAAGCTAACCTTCTGTTTCCTCTGTACGATTGCTGGCCTGTTTCTTGCGTGTATGATTGACCATAATTTCTCCGAAAGGGGGCCAAAAGGCCGCCTGGATAGGTCACCTGTTTTAAACACTCGCACCACTATACAGTTGTGTGTTGTCTGCCAGTCAGTCAGTAGACACTAAACGGACATCACATAAGGAACGTTTAACGTTGCAATTCTAGTCTATGTCCGCCTGCAAAATTAACCTAATCTTTAGTTTCTACTTATGCGTCTACATGATCGACCGAACTTACCGTTTCCACTCTTCACTTCCCTCAGGCCCGTTGACATGGGATATATATATAAAATTAATACTTGCAACAAAAAAATTACCTCCTATTATTTATAGGATGAAAAATGAGTCATAGCAGTTCTATTCTAGGGGGCCATTGACTCTTCTGCTTTTAGGCTCTGACGTTCTTTACATGAGCCTGTTTGCCTGCATGATTAACCGTATCTATAGTATATACTTGACATTTGCCTGTATAAGTTGACTGTAGATTCGACTTGGAGTAATCTTCCTAGTAAGTACGTTTTTGGAAGATTAAAATGAATGTCTTTTACGATTTTTCAATATCAATAAGCTAATTTTTAAACACAAGAAGTAACACAGGAGATAAACCGATAACCCATTGTTGACAACTGAATATATCAATTATTGAAGAAAAAACTGTTTGAACGCGCACACTTTAAGATATATGTTGGTTCATCTCATTTTCACCATGAAAATAGGAAGTCAAACAACGCAGACGCTTGCATATAAATAGAATAAATATTCTTTATGGTTAAAGCCAAGAAAAAAAGAAAAAGCCAAGTCCTTCCTATAAGAATATCTCGAGTCAAGACGCCTGGAAAGGAATCCGTGTAATTTCCATTCAGTGACGTGTACCGTTAAAAGCAAGTGATATGAAGAAAAAAAAAGAATGATTGATGTGTTACCGTAGAATCCTCACGATGCCGGTCTTTCTCATACTTCAGTTTCGTCTAGTAGCTTATTGTTGATCTCGCTGTTCACAGTAGCCTGTAGCCTACCACGTGGTCAAGGCGTTCAGCGTCGCCTGTCA